GGGGGGGGATTGTGTGTTTTGTTTTCCTGAGCAGTAACTCGGTCACTAAGGGGAAAGCTAAACAAATAATTAAGAGCAGAGTCAGCAGAAGTAATCCCCGAGGCACTGTGCCGGTTAAATGAAAACAAAAAGAATTTGGGGACTGGTTGTTTACACCACTTTTCACTTGAGCAAAATGTTAGATAGGTGTGACGGCAGCAAGTGGTGAAAGTCAGTTATATTTCCTCACGTGGGGCAATGAAGCAGTAGTTAATTTTTACTTCTTGGTATCGTTATTCTAGGTTTTGGCCTTTCAGTTAGTAGGTGTGAGCGTAACCTGGGTCAGGATGTTTTGGAGATGACACACTAAAATAACACAACTAACAGTTTCTGTCCCTGGAAGCTGGAGCGTTTTCCTGTTACCTGCGTTTGTTCAGAAACAGACTATAGAAAAGTCGTGATTTATTTTATGGTTTTGTCATTTGCAACTGGAGAAGGAAATATATTTATAAGATTATTTAGCCAAAGCCTTTGTATATAAAGCAGTCTGAGTTGTTGTATAAATAACTGTAGATCTATTTGGGCCCCATGCCAAATAGCACATGCTAGTTCTTGTATCCTTGGAGAGGATCTACATTTCATTCTGTATGTTAGTTATGAATACCTGACAGTGGTCACTCTGATGCTAACCTTGCCTGGGACTCGGCAAGCCTTCCACTTTACGTGCTAGTGAGGTTGTTTCTTCTGTAGTTACTGTGTGATGTTTTGTTTTGGAGGCTATGTTAGTTATGAATACCTGACAGTGGTCACTCTGATGCTAACCTTGCCTGGGATTCGGCAAGCCTTCCACTTTACGTGCTAGTGAGGGTTGTTTCTTCTGTAGTTACTGTGCGATGTTTTGGTTTGGAGGCTAAAGCTAGCTACCAATTATTTTTGTCATAATAAAGTATCTACGGAGTAAATGGCATTAGACATAATTTTGGCTATTTCCCACGTGAAATGCTTTGAGAAGGATCTGAAAAGACAATTAGTTCTCACTGAAAGTAGTATTCCGTATTATTCCTGATTGTTTGCTAATTAGAAAACAGTTGAATAACTGTCATAACATAACACCCTTCAGTCATTCGCAGACTATCTTGGATTTGACGGAGCAGCATGAAAGGCGTAAGTAGGGCTTTGAGCATCTTTTCACAGCCAACAGAGAATAGTTGAAATGGAATCAATGTTTTCATCATTAAAGAATATTATTTCTTAATATAAATTATTCCTATGATTAATAACAGTTCTATGATTAATAGTAACAGCTGTAATACGATCAACAATTTGTCTTTTTCTTTCATGATTATATTTTCTAGGCCTTGTCTCTGCAAGTCATAGCGCCTTTAAAATGAGGGACAGCTCCCAACAGCAATACTAGTGGAAAATGCAGTGTACTCTGTGTGTTTTTAACATCATCGGAGTTTTTGGTGGTGTCTGTTTTTTGAAGCCATTACATTGTTTTTCTCATTGCTTTTTCAGCAGCTGCATATGTTACACTATATTAATATTTAAATATATATTCCCAGCAATTATTGTTAATGATCGTGCATCTGTTGTATCAGCAAGGTTTTGGGTTTGTTGAGGGTTTTTTTTTCCTTTGGGAGGAGTAAATTGCATTTCTCCTTTTTGAGTTTGATTATATAATAGTATTAGAAACGTTGCATGGGGAGTTTGACTTAGGGAGAAGCAAAACCCAGTTCTCTAGAGTTCCCAGGCAGAACTCTCACTACAAAACCTTTTTTCCTTATTTCTTAATCGTTCTCTTTAGCTAATCTTGAATGCCACAGATGCAGCTAAGAAATAAAAGACAAACTTTTTATTCTTGCTTTGCCTCTGGATCACAAAATATGCTGAAAGTCTGTTTTCAGTAGTGCTTTAGTTGTTTTTTAGGGACTTAGTGAAAAGAATATCTCTTTGAGCTGTTCTTTGAAACGGCCTGCCAAAAACAAAAACATGTTTTGTCTCTGTTAAAAGGTTCACATATGTGATGGGTGAAGGAGGGCTGGGAGGCGGTAAGCTGTAGCCAGCACTTAGTGTGGTGTAAAAATCTTTTTTTTTTTTTTCAGCATGTTGGGTGGGCAGGGATATGCATCATCTGCGAGATGTGCCTCTGAGGCTGTGTGTTACACCTGCACCATCTCTGTCAGTCTCATTTCGGTGCCGTTGAACTAGCTGCTGTTTAGAATCCAGTATCAATGAGCCTGTCTGAGAAATCTGGCAAGAATGGCCCATTGATGAAGTTATCCAAGTCCTGTGAATGAGATGTTCAAAAATTGCAGTAAGAAAGCTCATTCCACAGGTGCCAGTCATGTTTCTTGTATTTCATACAGTTTTTCACGAGACAGCATCTCTCTCGCTTTTTGTATTGTGAAATATACAACGTGATGGGACAGTCATTGTTGCTAAGTAAAGTGTGCGCTTACTCAGTCTTGAAATTTTACATTATTTGAGTTTTGACTTCTACGTTCCTGTTCAACAGGAAAGCAAATGGATAATTTTTTTTCCATGCTGTCGTTCTGGTAAGAGCAGGTAGGTGGTTAGTGGTGAAGACTTGATGTTAAACTGTAGCGTAGAACTGAAGCAGGATCCTCAGCTCTTTTAGGTTTATAAAAGTTATTAAATAAAAGAGAGAGGGAGACTTTTCCTCTCTATCAGTATAGATTGTGAATACTTTTTATGGTTGTAGGCTGACTAATACCTTGTTGCTAAATGAAAGGTAATGTTCCCTTCACTAATGAGTTTACAGATGTTGTTTATGCTGACAGTTGCTTATTACCAATATGTGTAGGTAATGCATATCCTTGACTTTCACAGAAGGCCTGAAAATTACTCCTTTAATCTGGTGTTTCCACTATGTAATAATAAACCTGTGGGGGAATATCTTTAGGTAACTTTCCATAGAGGAACTTTAAAATGACGCATGATATGACACATCCTTGAGGGTTGTTATACTGGCGTGTGACATGGATACAAATTATAGATAAGATAGCCAATTGGCTTCAGAAGCTTTAAGTGACTTCGTAAAGTTCAAGATACTGTGTGAGACAAAAACTTACTATTCTCCACCACCTCCGTATTCCATCTTATTTGAAAGGCTAAGAGCAGCTCTAAGACCCACAATCAGTGAAAAAGAGGACTGGAGACTTCAATATTGGTTCCCAGTTATTTTGCTGACTTCTATGACTTTAGTCAAATATTGTGGATCTAAATTTGCAAAGTATATACTATTATTTGCTATTACTCACTTTCAAGGTTAGTGATATCTAATGACTGATCTGTCTCACTTCCCTCTTTATCCAAGGCATCACTGCTAATGGTGAGTTCATTTTATTGTGTTGGCACAATAAAATGCTTGCTCATGTATCTGGAGTTGTTAAAATCAATGAATATTTTTCAAAATCAAGACTTTGCTTTATAATAAAATAGGTTCTACTTAAAATAACTGTTAGGGTGGAGACTTGGAGACTTATTTCTTATAAGTGGCCAGTATTTGTGGCACTGATCAAGTTAGGATAACGTTTGCATATTTGCAGCACTGTAAGGGGGTATTTACAGTTCAGCAAAATTGGGAAGTGTGGTCCTGAAGCAACATTCTCTCATCGAAATGTGAGAATTTTGTTTTTCTAAGCTTTGTGGGTGCTTCTTGGCATTTCATACTTCTTGGCTTTTTAAAGGATGGAGTGAGAAAGACGAATTT